CATCTTGGCTGGCAGTTAATTTGCATATCACCCTGATTAGCCAATGGGAAGTGTAGCGGACGTACGGCTAATTACCATGTTTCTCTTTTCTTAGATAGGATATAGATATTTAGGTAGATAAAATCTCAGTTACTTAGGTTTTGAAAAGGGGATAAGTAGAAGAAGTGTTAACCCTTTAAGAAGCCATGAACAGTTTGGTGAGAATCATTATAAAATGTTGTTTAAAAAAAGAGCTAATCAGTTTATCCCACATTCTTCATACCCTATCTGCCTGTTAAGAGAAGCAACCTCTTTAACTTTTCTGAGTCCTGACTGATAAGATCAATTGCTACACTGGAATGGAGATGAGGCTATTATATTGGTTGGAAAATAAATGCACCGCAATGTCTCCTTGAAAAAGTTCCTATTTCAGCCTTTTTTGGGGGGAGGGGGAATGGGGCGGGGAAGTCATTTGCTTTATTCTCATAAAATAAAAGCAGGAGGATGCTTGCTTTCTCTAATTCCAGACCCCTTACTCCAGAACCTTCTGTACTAGAGAGGCACTTAGCACAGCCAGCCCTCTTCCCAAGACCAACAGAGGCCAGCTAGTTCCCCCACATTAGCACCTATTTCCAAAACACAGCTGGCTCTGGATAGGCCTGACTATCTAGACTATGGGAATGTCTGCCTAAATACCTTTAGCTTACACTGCAGCTCAGCTCTTCTGCTCCCCATGACAGCAATGGCCCTCTTCCAGTGGCCAATTCAGGTCCTGGATTTTCCATGTTGCATTACTAGGACTATTCCAGTTCACACAACCCTCCCTTTGCCAATTTATAGATTCCTTTTGGGAACTATGAAATAGGCAACGTGGGAAAACCGAGACTCAGAGTGACCTGCACAGGGTCACAAGTCAGTTCACACAATGGTTCTAAGACCTGGGGAGTCAAAATCACCTATAGAACAATGTAAATTAGTGTTGCTCCACTCAATGCCTTGTTTAAACACATCAAACATGAAAACGGTCTCCTTGACTACACTAAGAGCCCTCAAGGTCATGTTTTTAGACCCGCCCTGGCACTCAAGACTGCTTACTGACTACTTCTATAGAATAAAAAATACATAGCATTGTCCTTTTCCAAACAAATCCTCATAAATAAATAAGGGACGATTAATATTTATTGGAGAGTTTCAGTACTGTGTACCTACTCTATTAGCCATGAACTTAGCAGACTTAGCCAGATTCAGAAATTATATTCTCTCACTCAAAGAAACCTAAAACTTGAATCCATTACCTGCTTGCTTCTACAGTTTGAGTGTATTTTCATTATTAAGCTGCACCCAAAGTTTGCCTAAGTTAAAGTTAAGAAAATACAAGGTGAGAACATAATTTAGATTTCTGCACAGGGAAGACATCAAATCCTACAGTATTCATAACAACAAAAAGCTCATGTCTAGAGCTACCTGCACATTGTACTTGATATAAATGCAAAAGCAGGAACAATTCGCTAAATGATCTTGAAACACTGTTCTTTTTGCCAGAGGAATGATATACCACTGGTCAATTACCATATAAAAATCCCATTTTCTCACAATTCCATTATTTCTCTATAATTATTCCAGCAAAAATCATTATAACTTATTAAGTGCAGAGAATAAATGCTTTTAAAAGTGAGAAAGGGGAAGAAAAGGGAAAGGAGTACCAGAAATGTTCTCCAGCCTGACTGGGTGGTGGTGACAGGGCATTTAGAATATGTGTAAAAATTCATTCAGCGGTATGCTTAGGAGTTGTACACTCCCCTACCCCCCGAAAATGGTCTCGGATCATGAGACAAGAATGCTAAGGAGGGGGCATTTTACAACTCAGATGAATAACCGAAACAATCACGCCGTGTTACCTGTCGGCCTTCATCAGCAGGTTGGGTGGCAGCTCCAGGAGCTGGTTGTGCTGCACATCTAAGACCTCCACTGAGGTTCTTTCTAGCCGTTCAGGTAGACTCGTCAGCTGGTTGTGTCCCGCCAGCAGCTTCCGGAGACTGCTGTTACAGAATAAGCTGTGCAACAAGGGACAGAGACAGAAGGAAACTTACTTAGAGCTAACGTGGGATAAATACGAAAAAGTGAACAGGAGTGGGAGAATGCTTAAAACGATCTCTCCAAAAAACAAATTCACTCAGAGCAACTGCAAATTCACTTGAACAGAAGCTCAAACTTGGAGCTGTTAATATTTCTTTATTTTCCATACTTTCAAAAAAAGGGGGTGGCAAAAACTATGAAAAGGGATTTTAACAAAGAAGCTCTACTTAGTGAAAGAGAAAGACACATTTCATAGAAGATTCGGAAGAGAGCAGTCTAATCTTCCTAGGTTCATAAGGCAAGCTTTAAAAGGTGCAGGATTCTCAAGGTAGGGCTTGTGTCTTATACACACGGAACTCGGACTGTTTTACCCACAACAGATTCTAAATAAATGCAGTTAAACAATTTTACCTATAGGATCAACATTCAATAAATGATCCGTCTATCCAATTAATCTTTTACAAATGCCAACTGGGAAAATGTTACATTTTTCCTCAGTTGCATTTCACAATCATAATTATTTCTCCCTTTCCTCACTTCCCTGTGTATATTTTTGTTTTCTCTTTGCTTTAACCCTGACCAAAGTAGACACTCCCTCCTAAAGAAAACAGAATGCCTTAATCCATTATTTTCTGCTGTGCCCTAAAGAGCTCTTTGGAAAATTGGTTGTGTGTTTCTTCTGTGGATTATCAAAACTGCAATAAATGATGAATACTTAATCTAAAAAGTACACTTTATGCCAGACATCAACAGTTGTAGAGAATAAAACAAACCATGGGTTCCAATACAGAAATCTGGGGCCTGTGGGAAAGTAAGGCTATGATATGCATCAGGATCACTTCAGAAAGAGAATTCATTTACACTGCTGTCAAAGAATGAGGCTTCCTAACCCACAGACCATTTCCCACCATTGTGACCTCACTCACTGACATCCGCTGTTAAAACCACTCTATGTTACAGCCATAACTTTATTCACTTTAAATATTAAAACCAGATTCTTCGCTCACAAAGATACCAGAAACTGTTCCAATGCTGTGACAACACAGGTCAACATTAATGACATCTAACATGCCTCACTTGGCAGGTTTAGATATCAATGTGACAAGACATTATCTAGGACTGTCAGTCACAGTTAACACAGGGTCTCTGTCATGGTCACTCAACCCAATAATTCAGGATCTGCTTCACCAATTTTACTGCCTTGCAGTGGAATTTAGAATTGGGTTGTTTATTAGTTATACACAGACACACACACACACACACACACACACACACACACACTTTATCCTTAAATAGATGGATAATTTGATGACAAAATCTTTATCCTGATTTTTCCAAATAAAAAAGTAGATTTGATAACTAAAATGAGTATTAAATGCTAATTACTGGATTTAGTTCAATTCTTCTGGATACTAAGCACTAAAATACCTCCTTTTCTTTTTAGTACATTTCCACTTCTAAATATTAATTTCTGTTTTGTCAAACCCTTCATACACTTTGATAAACAGGGCTTGAATAGTAAGTCAACTTCTAATGAATCACTATCTTGTCTAAAATGTTAGATCAATGATGGGCTAATCCAAAGTTTGCAACTAAACGTCACCATAAATGAGAAAACAATACATACTGTGTTTGTCCCACGGGTTAAAAACAGAAACACACAAAAACAAACACTGTTTAAATTCCCTGACAATAGAGCATTTGGGATTTGCTTTGAATAAACATTTGTTTCATTCCCCCAAAAGGCCTGTACTAATGTAGAACAAATCAAAGGAAACTCTGGGGGATAATTTGATAAAATATCTGTTATATTGAATTTATTTGTTGTTTTATGTATATATCTTTGTTGTAGCTGACAGTGAAACAAAGGCCTCAGACTCCAATATGCTATATCTGCTGGATTGGGGTGGTTAGAATGGGGAACAAAACAGAAAAAATAGAAAAGAAGATTAGAAAAGATTTTTTAACAAATTTTTTCCCCCTATTTAGTAGTAGCTTGTTTTCATCTTTGCTATTTGTCTTCTAAAAGCACCCCCTGCCCTGCGCACACACTCACATACACAATGCTGTCCACAGGGCACATCACCAAACCTTCTGCTGATAATGGTGATGAGCTGCACTGAGTCACCTAAATGCTCAGTCAACATAAAACTCTAAGCAGAAAGCATTTTCAAATGGATTGACTTTATGGGTATTATGTATGGATGAAAAAGTAAAATGAACTGAGTTTTCCGGGAATTGAAAATGTAAACCATGATTTTCTTTATGAGCATTATATTCTAACACAGTGTTATCCAACAGAAACATAAGGCAAGCCACATACATAATTTAAAATTAAAGATGAAAAGATTTAGGTAAGTTAATTCTTATAGTACTTTCTATTTGACTCAACATATCCAAAATATTATTTTAACATGTAATTAATATACAACATTATTGATATATGTGTATATTTTCTAATTCAGCACTTCTCAATTAGGAATAGTCACATTTCAATTGCTCACCTGACCCTTGGCTAATGGTAGTGACTACATATTAAGCAACTGAACTCTTAATGCCTTTATTAGGCTTACCAAGCATGTATATGTCATCATCTTTGTTCTTTATAAGAGACTATAGGAATACCAATCACATACCTTTAAAGATCATGCACCTAAAGTAAACTTAAATCCAAAATAGTGACATATTTTTACAGTATTTTCATTGATATTTTTTGACTATACATAGTTAGAAACAACTGACTTCCTTTGTTCAGTGATTGACTGAGAATGGTGCAAATAGCTAGATCTGAGCTGTAGCAGCCACTAGTCACAAATGGCTACTTAAATTTAAATTAATTAAAATGAAATAAAATTTAAAATTCAGTTCCTCAGTCACTGTAGCCACATTTCAAGTGCTCAACAGTCACATATGGTTAGTGGATAGTACACTGGATAGCACAGAGTACTCCATTCAATCATCACAGAAAGTCCACAGGCCAGCATGAGGACAGATTGCTCTTCCAGTTATTGATTGCATGGCTAGTCACTAACAGCCCCAAAATACTTTGTACCGCAATTAGTTAACTTGAAGATGTCTATGTCTATTAGACATCATCACATGGCTGTTTTTGAAATCTTGGCATTAAAGTGAAAATTATGAAATAAAAAAGAATCTAGTTTGCTCTTTTTAGGTTTAATAATCTAATAATCTTTTCTCACCCTAAGTTATGTTCAAGGAAAACCAAACATTGTTTGTGAGTAAGGTAGACATGTCAAGTTAATGGACCGAAGGGGAGGATTCTGAAAGAGTGAAGATCAAAGAGTCACTAATCGTACTATTTGCCGCGTCTCTGAAAATTGCAGCTTATTTAAAAATCTCTACCAGGAACCACCCACTGCATTACTTTGAAAAGTCTGACAGAGAGTCAAAGCCTCACTTAACTCTTCTCGAAGGAAGTTTATAACTTGAAGACACCACATGCAGTAAAGATACTAAAGATTAGGTTTAAAAAATAAGCATTAAAAAGCTCTTTTAGAGGAAGGTGCAGGAAGATATAGGGGAGATAAATGGTGATGGGAGGAGACTTCACTTGGGGTGGTGAACATACAATACAATGGTATTGTGCACCTGAAATCTGTATAATTTTGTTAACCAGGTCACCCCAATGAACTTTATAAAAAGGAAAAAATAAACACACATAAAAAAAACTCTTTTAGAGGTTCCTAGTAACAAGTTAAACACTGAATCAGAAATTTTTACAACTGCTTATCTAATTTGAGATTCTCTAACTCAATCTGTCATACTTACCGTGCAGGAAGTTCACATATTTGATTATGGCCAATATCTAAAACTTCTAGCTTTCGGCTTTCACATACCCACTCAGGCACATTTTCCAAGCAGTTCCTAAATATAAGAATATACAATAGTTTTCTTTGATCGGAATGTGGCCTAAAACATAGTTTGAAACTCAAAATAATTACATAGACTAAATAAAACTTCAAATGAAATACCAATTTCAGAGAGTATAAATCCAAAGGATATGAATACTCATCTTAATCTAGAAGCAAAATTGTGATAAGGAATAAGAAGGAAAAAAAATAGGAAAGGACATAGTTACATCATTTTTAAAGTCTTTTCTTTTCTTTTTCTTTTTTTTACTTTGGCTCCCAGAATCGCTTTTCTGAAAATTCTATAAACCCACTCAAGTTTAGGAAGAGGAGGTCTTAGATTGGAAACGAACAAGCATACACGTCTATTTAAGTTGAACAGTCAAATGGCATAAAAGTTTTATTTTCCAATTTACATTTCACCCTTAACACTGAAATAGTTCTCAACTCCATTAGGCATCATGAAAGCACAACCACAGAGAAATGGAAAGATGGCAGCAGTGCAAGTGCCCTGGCCCTTAACGCTCAGAATTATCTGAAAACATTTACTTAGGCATCAGGTGGTAATTATAACTACCAGAAACAAGTGAACTAAAATAATCATGACTTTAATTATTATATGAATTGACCTGTTCCTACACAAATTTATTATATTTGAATGTCTCCCTAATTATAGGTGGTTAGTTAACCTTTCACTTAAAAAAAAATGTAAAATGACCAGGCACAAGGAATCTAAAATGGTATGGACGTTAAGACTATTATTATTTAAAAACAGACCCACATTCCGGAAAAATAAAATGCCTGGGACAAGGATTATATGAGAGCAAAAGTGAAAATAGTTGTGATATTGAAGTGATGGCATTATGTGAGGCTTAAAAATCATGTTATTTTTGCTATTTTATCAACCTTTCAATTAAAATACAAAAAACATGCATTATTTTCTGCTTAGGGTCTATATGGGCACATCAGGTTCTGGCTTTGGAGCCCTAAAGACTGATATATTAATGATTTTATTTTGTAGTAATTAACCACATCTGAGTAAGACAGGAGAGTAGAAGTGCCTCTCAGTATAAGCAACCTCATCATAGCAATAAAACTCCTGCAAGTGTGGAACTATGAACTTGAGGAGCTCTAAGGACCTAATAAACACCATTTTGGATGATGGCTCACTTCCTTCAGATAACATAAATACTCACACAAAGGGAGGAGACTGAAATACTCAGGGCTATCTGAGGGGAATCAGAGGTTTTCTAACACAAAGTCCCATGGTTTGAAGGTGACTGAGGGAGAGGCACACTACAGTGAAGATTCTGGACATGAGAGTTACAAAGAAGGGGAATGGCATTTACGTGGGGACTTAAGGAATAAGCATGATGTAAGAGTTTCCAATTCTGTCTCACTTAGGGGCTTCAATGGGAACCAGTTGCTAATTACATACTATAAATAAAGGGAAAGTAGATTCACTCCATGGCCAATGCTCTTAAATAAAACTTTTCAAAATAAATCTTTTCTTGCAAACTCCACTACAGTGCTGTTCTTATTTAAAAGATGAAGATAACAACTAATGCTAATAGAAAAAAAAGAATAATAACCAGATAATACTGAATTTCAAGTACTTTAAAACTATTGACATGAATTTAGTAGGAAATGCATGAAGCACTACTACTTATAAAGGATTTTATAGGTTTCTAAGAAAATTGTAATAATAATTCTCACAATAGCTAAATTCAAACACATTCTTATGTAACTATGATTGAGCATATCATTAACATATCCGATTTACACACTGAAATGAGTTAACAGTGGCACTTTGAGAGGACCATATCCTCCCAAATACTGTGGCTGTTCAGAAAGTATGGGGTATTTTGTTTGGAATTATGTTAAAAGTTAGTTTTCAATTTTAGTGTGTTAAGATTATTAAAGTTTAATTTGTGTAAATACGTACTTTATGTTTTCAGGAAAAAGTCTTGTATAATATTTTTGGGGACTGGAGTAGTGCATTAGTATAAAAAGTGAGATGGTGAGCTTATTCACAAATAAACTGAGAAAAATGAGTAGGCGGCATGGAAATACTACTTTGGAAGCTTTGTGGCTACTTTCTAAGGGTTCTTAGCAAGGAGATATATGTACAAAATAACAAAGAGGAAGGGGAAGAAAATCAAAGAAATATAATACATTATTTTTTTAATAAAATCAACATCATTTTGGAGAAAGATATGAAGATGAGGTTAATATAATTAAAGAACTACTGGATCTTCTAACCACATGACCCGAACTCACTAATCTTCCAAACCCAAGCCTTGGTGTGCAAATTGCCATCCCCATCAGCATAATACCTTGATTCTTCTGGCTTGAACTATATACACAAATGTAGTATTTTAATGGACAGATATTTATATACATTTTCAGAGGGTAAGTAAAAACTTTTGAATTTAATTTGTATTATTTATCTTGAAAACATAAAAAGTTTGTATGCATATGCTCAGACAGAATTCTCTAAGTGATTTTCAATCCAATTCTAGAGCATTCTAAGCCTTGGCTTCTTACCTTGAAACGTCCATGTAGAACAGATAATTCGGAACTGGGTAAACATCAAGCTGAACAAGTTCTAGGAGGGGGAAAGGAACACAAAAGCGTTACCATTCAAGTGACACAGAGCCTCTTTGTGTGCAGAATATCATTACTGTGCTTTTTTCTCCATTGTTTGTTTAGGCTAGGAAGTACAATATGTCCATCTGTTCTACTTTGAAACTCCAGGAAAGGACAGAGAACTTCTAATTTAATCACAAGATCTTACTCAAGGTTTAAAATGAATCACTTGTTCTACTTTCCTACCTCAATCCCATCCACTTACTGTGGTTCTCCTATTGTTAGGCATGCTAAATTTTATCTGGAAGAGGAACTGTATGAATACTGTGTTGTTGTTTTTAACATTCAGTGTTCCTTTCATAAAACCAAATGAATCTTGGCTTTTGCCTTTTTCACTTTACTGAAACAGCATTCCTGAGGACCACAAATAACGTTCTGAGGACTACAAATGACATACTCAGATTGAGAACCCTTCCTCAAAATTATATGAAACGTGTCACCACTGTCCACGTAAGGCTTTGTTTTGGGGACACAGTAGTTTCTAATCACAGGGTCAGTTCTCACCTGATTTTCTATTCTGGCACCAGCTACGTGGAAGGGTTTGTAAGTCTACTTTTACCATCTTCTCTTTTCCAGTTACCTTACTTCCACAGTTTCAGGTACCACCTCTAAGTCTCAAATCAACATTTGTAGTCCTGATTGACAATTCCTATCAGCTCAGTGAAGACCACTACAATAACCTGAGCAGGAGTGGGTGGTTCCACTCTTCTCCCACAAATGCACTCTGCACACTACTTTCATGTTAACGGTCCTATAGTGTCACTTCCATCACATGCCTCTTCAAAGCTTCACCAGGACTCCAAGCCATGCATCCCATAATTATTTCTTACCACTCCAAAGAGTTCAGACCCCCCTGTCTTCTCCCATCTGCCAAGCACACCACATTCGGATTCTTTCTTCTTCGACACCTACTTTGTGCCTATGACTATCCAAATCCTGTAACCCTTCAGTGGCCTGGAGCTGTTTAAGATTTGGCTTATTTTTCCAATGTGATGACAGCAAACTCATTTTTAAAAATTCCTTATCCTTTAGAACTCATATACTACACTATGCATAAAACAAGTGCTTTGTTAAACATTCTGCTTAACTCTTAGTAGTAAGTACTTGTTTTCATTCATGCTGGTAGGAACTAAAGTCTTCACATTAGCAAATATATGCCCCAATGACCATTTCTTGATCAGAATGGCCATGATTTCCAAATTCTAAAAAAGAGAGCTTGTTAAATAAGTAAGACTCTTGCTTTGTGGTGTGCTTGTGGGTATATAATTTAGGTTTTTTCTTAAGGTGACTTCGTCAGTGGAGCACAAAATCTGAGACCCTGAGTAAAATCCACAATGGATTCCTTTGCTTTCACTCTCCAGGATTAAATCAAGGTTCCAGATTTACTGTCATTAACAAGGTAGCTCAAGAAATAGTCACCTTCTCCCCACTTCCTTTCAAGCAGCGGTGCCCAATCAAAAGTGGGAGCAACTTATCTAAATATCACAATATGACAAAAACGAATTAGGAATAAAATTTTGATTCCTTTAAGTACCAAACCAGAGTTTTTCTTTTGTGATTTTTTATCTTAGCAAAATTTGACACTTATTTTACTAAAGAAATATCAAAGCAAGGCCGAGATGATGGCACTGAAAAAATTCTTGGAACCAGTTGAGAAACTTTGATGTGGTCTATGTTACATACCATTAGAAGAGGCATAGAGTGCTTTGAGGAAATAGCCACAGATGTTTAACGTCACCAGTTGATTCCTTTCACAGTGTAAAACTTCAATGTTGTTGAAAATCATGGCATCTAGATCACCAAGCTTATTGTCACGCAGATCAAGCTGAGTGACATGCTGGAGAAAGTCCACTTCATCTGCTATTAACTTCTTAATTATGTTCAGTCTTGAGAGGAAAAGGACACAAATAGAGACTATAATTAACAGCAACACTACAAATAAATAGCTACGCCCTAATACGGTGAGATAAGAAGAAGGGACTCCAGTCGCATTATATTCTAGTCCTTTAGGATTTCTTTAATCTCACCATCTAGCCTTCCTTAACAGGCCAGATTCTCTGGTTATCTTTAGCTGCAACTCCATGAGGTCTTAATCTTGGCAATATATTCTGAAACACAACTTAGACCCTTAAGGCTGGAGGAAATGCATGATTTTACCTTAATTCATTTCAAGAGGAAAGAAATTCATTTATTTCCATAGAATTTGGTTGAAAGAATACAAGAAACAAAACCCAGAACAGCCCAATAAGCACATTACAGCTGCACTGACTATAGCGAGCAGGTAGATGAGCAGTCATATATGAAAGAATTAAAGGGTGAACTTGGAAAGAAAAATAATGAATGAGAGCCACATATGCACCAGAGACTGGGATGCAAATATCTGGATTTCAACAGGCTCAGAACCAAGAACTGATTACCAAAACTGTATCTTTAAAATATTGCTTGAAAGAGCAGACAGCAGAAAATACTAAAATTGGCATCTAGGATTCATTGAGAAATTATAAAATGAAGGACAACAGTGGAGAGCAACAAGTCTAGAATGGAGCAGGGCACAGGGAAAGGCTGGCAGAATCTCAGCCACGAGAACCAGATAGCTAATGGGCTGAAGTGGCTGGGGATGAGCTGCCAAGAAGGTAAGTACACAGGAATGGGGACTAGAAACTGATATAACAAAGACACATTTAGCTTCAAAGGGGAGAAAAACAGATGAAAATCCCAATTCCCAGCTTGCTAGGCTATGCCCAACTTCTTTACAAACAAGAGCCCTCTACTGCTCTTTGTAATGAGAACAAAATACTGAGACTGTGCACTTGGGTTAGAAGAGCATTAATATTAAGGCTTGAGCTTTGAAAAAAGCCCAGCGCTCTCTGATAGAATTTCTGACCTTTGAAAATGAAAATAAAATGATGGACTAAATTATTAATAGGAATAGCATAAAGCCACTGACACACAGGATTAGTGACAGCACAGAGTGAGGATTCGTCAACCCGCAAGTACAGCATATGGCCTCTTCAAATGCCCCCAAGAGGATGTTTTTGGCTCCTTCTCTTTTTCATTCCAGGTTGTAAGATTAAAAAACTGGCCTCATCCCAGCTTTTGACTATTTCCAAATGCTGGCTAGATTCCAGAATATGCATGCAGAATAAAAAGAAAAAAACAAATCTCATTTTGGATATAAAAGACTGCAAGAACTGAAATCTATATCCCATGATCTCCCTATTCTACACTTTATATTATCTTTGTAATGTGGCATTATCATGTTCACTTGAAATAGCTACCCCCACAATTTCACTGTAGTAATACTAAAATAATTAAATAGTTGGTTTAATGAAGAGACAAAAAAGGAAGTTAACATTCCCACTGTTTGGTTTAAATTGCCAAGTCTTACCAGGATTCAAATATCAAAAGTTTTCAGGCTCACACAATAATACAACTATTTACAATAAACTTCTAAAGAGTCAAAATATGGTTAAAATTTCCTTCCAACAATCCCCTCAAAGAACACAGTCATTTTATCTATTTCATAAACACTGAACATTGAACATTACTTTGCAAACAGTGAAAGACTATGGTGATAATGATGACGATGACTTAAGGCTTTATGCTCTTAAGAAATAAATAAAACAAGGTGTCTTTCAACAGCTTCTGAAATTTAGTAAGGAAAAATCATAAATGCTTTCATATATAAAGTATAAGGACTACAAGTAAGTAATAAGTGCCATAAATGATGTATAAAATTCAGAGAATGGTCAAAAAAGATGCATGGAAGAGGAAACATCACATCTGAATCCCAAAGGTAGGCAGAATTGAAAAAATATAAATGGGAGAAGAAAACGGTCCCGAGGAAGCAGCAGGATGGCTTCTGGACTGAAGAAAAGGGCATGGGGTGAACATCATACATAAATAGCGCAGAGTATGTGAGGCAAGTGAGAATATGGCTATGAAAGTGGACTAGTCAATTAATACTTATCAATTAACACTGATCTGCTAAGAGCTAACTCTGGTGGATCAAGAACCAATAAGAGCAGTGCTTCCCAGTTACTATGGTGAAAGACCTATTTTCTAAACTTCTGATGTCATAGAGTCTATGACATAGACTGATATGTAGTCACTGTGTACACGATCAGCATGCAATTCACACCACAAGCAGCTCACCATGCGAGTTCACCAACATGGAAACTAGTCTGTTCCCTGTACAATGAAATGAATATACTTTTATGAGCTTACTTGGATATTGTGGCAATGCTGAATCACTGTATATTTCTAAAATGTTGTCTCAATTTCTATACATATCTTGCTATGGAAAAGTAGCAAATAGTTGGATTGCCAGAACAGGCCAGAGGACCACACTTTGAGCAGCTCTGAGCTAGAACTTCCTCCTCAAGGGATTCACAGACTAGTAGGTAGAAACTAGATATAAGAGCTTGAATACTTTAAACTGGAGAATTGAAAGTTCTGAGCAAGACTGTGCTTGCTCAGCTAGGAAACAACAATAGCAATGAGAAGGAAAGGAAAAGGACTAGGGAGAAACTAGAATGAAAGAACTGATAGAACCTGGTGGTAAACTAGAAACAGAGTCAAAGCTCGGTCTGAATAACCCATGAAGCGGTATTGCTATGAACAACAGGAATCCAGCGGAAAGAAGTGGTTGAATAAAGAAAAGAAACTGAACTCTGTTTCACATGTATTTGGTTAAGTGTATCAGTAGGGGAAACCAAGGTGAAATTATCCAGTTGGCAGCTAAAGTGGAATTAGTTCCAAAAAGAAAAATAAGAGTTAGAGAAAGACAGGAATAATTAACAAGGAGATGAAAGGTGAATGACAAAGCCATGAGAAGTAAGTTATTAAAGAGAGGGCGTGGGTAACATCCACATTTTGAACACAGAAGAAAAGATGGAGGAATTATTACTGATGCCATAGAAGAAATACCAAACTCAAAGAACAGCAATACAAGAAAAAGAATAAGATTAAAAGAAACGTGATCACTTTTAATCTGATGTAGCACTTCCATCTGAAGGAATAAAAAATGAATCAATAAAATTAGCCCTTTGCTTACAGAAACTAAGTGAAACTCCTCCTAAATCATTCCACTAGCTTCAATTTAAAATATTAAGGCAGACTTATAAGCAAATTAGACCAGATTTTCCCCTCCTCAGATCAGTGGCCTAGCAGGAAGCAGTTATCTACTCACGTTCATTCAACCTTGATAGAATGACCAAAGTCTTTTCTAAATATGAAGGTTTTTAAATCCAAGTGACTCAGAGGACAGA